GTTATATTATTGGTAGTGTCAGGTGTACAACATAGTGATTGAATATTTTTATAGATTATACTCCATTTAGAGATAGTTACTTCTTAGAAAACCAGCATGGGCCTGTTTTTGAGGTCTTCTAATTTTTTGACTTGCTGGAAACTTTCTGGTTTCCCATTTTGTAAGGGAGCTTTTTATACTTTTTAGAAGTCCAAAACTGCAACACATTTTTTTTTTCCTCTCTTAAACTTGTATAACCAGAATGAGCAAAGACATATTAAATAAAAAGGAACGGAATTGTGGATGTATCTTTTGTGAAAATATGTGGCAGTCACCACTGGGTGTCCACTTTGTCAGGTGTCTGGGATGCAAGGGGTTCTTTGAAGAGTTTGCAGTGAAGAGACATGATTATCAACTGGATGGTAGGTGCTAATGGAGCGCCACGGTGCACACAGTGAGAAAGCAGTGATTCTAACAATTCATTTATTCAGTAAAGACTGAGCACCTTGTCTGGCCAGCTACTGTTGCAGGCGCTGGGGACAGAGCACAGAGCAAGGCAGGTAGGATCCTGTGCTCATGGAGCTCCCATGCAGCAAGAGAGGGAAACAGACATGTCATGAAGAGCATGATCAGTGCGATGACAAAGAGTCAAGAAAAGGATAGGTGAGGCGGTTGTTGTGCCCCATGAGTTAGGAAGTAACTTCGGGAGGAGTACTGATGGTGAGCAGAGGAGAGGACTGGTGTTAGCTGCAGGGAAGGGTATGGAAAAGGTGGGATGGCATTCCAGGCAGAGGTTCTAGCGGGTACAAAGGCACAGAGATAAGAAAGGCTTATATCTGGGGATCTGCACCTGTTGTGGATGGACCCCAAGTCTGGAACAGTGTTTCTGGGGCTCCACTGTGAACATGTTTAGGAGCCTGGATTGTATCTATTAGTGACCAGCTGGCCCACAGAATTTATGAACTGGGAAGAGATGTGATTGGATTGGTGGTTTAGAAAGTTTTCTTTGACTTTGAGGCTGGATTGTAAGGGAAGGAGACAGGAGTCTCAGGATATGCTCGCCAGGGAGGCCACTGCACTGGCTTGGGAGGAGGTGATCTGGTTGTGTCAGAGGGCCTCCTCCCATGAGGCCCATTCACATTTCTGCATCCACCCAGCTTCGGTTGATGCTTATGCGTGGATGACTCTCACCACAGCTCTGCTCCTTACTTGCTGTGTGACCTTGAGCAAGTTACCTAAACTCTGTCTCACTGTCCTCTTTCGGTAAAATGGGAACACTAATATACTTATCTCAAAGGTTGCTTTGAAGATGAAATTAAACAATGATGTAAAGTACGTGGCACATTGGCTACAATATATAACGTGCTAAAATGTCACGACGACCACCACCACTACTACTACCATTAGTATTACTACTGTCACCACCATCCTTTCTCCCCTTGGGAAATATATCAGTCACATGGGAGAATTGGGAAAAAGTAAAATGAGAGAGCAGTTTTATTTATTTGTTTGTTTGCTTGCCGCAGGAAGTCCCGAGAGACCAAGTTTTTATCTGGGTGAGAATAAATCAAATCCAGTGTGCTTGGCATTAATTACGCAAGCATCAGAGGGCAATTTTGAATTGACCACAATCGACGGGTACCATCTGGGAAGACTTCATTGGGGCAAGTGAGTCTTAAATAGTTCTTGGACCTGAATGGACAAGGAGAAGCATAAAGTGTGGACCCCAAATGAATTGGAAAGGTCTCTCTTTGGTCTTCTGTATAGTCAGAGGGTTCTCAAGTTGGGGGCCAGATATTTTTTAGGGGCTGGGGGAAAGGGCTGTGCAGTTAGTGTGAGTGTCCTCAAACCCGTATGCCCAGCCAAGAATTGTCTTCAGGCTCACTTAATTCTATGTGTGTGGTCTAAAATTATGCCTGAGTGTTTTTAGATTTCCTTAGATAGAATTAGTTGTCTACAATGCAAATTCACTTCAAAACATTACTGGAGGGCTTCCCTGGTGGCGCAGTGGTTGAGAGTCCACCTGCCGATGCAGCGGACACGGGTTTGTGCCCCGGTCCGGGAGGATCCCACATGCCGCGGAGCGGCTGGGCCTGTGAGCCATGGCCGCTGAGTCCAGAGCCTATGCTCCGCAACGGGAGAGGCCTCAACAGTGAGAGGCCCGCGTACTGCAAAAAAAAAAAAAAAAAAAAAGAAATTAAAAAAAATTACTGGAAGTCATAGTAGTTTATTGACTGTTATTGCTGTTAGATATTGGATACTGAAAGTAGGACTGCTATTAGATGGGTGTTGTGTAGAATGTTTTGACGTTAAAAGGGGTTCCCAAACTTGAAAAAGTCAGGAACCACAGATTTTGCCTAATAAAACTGCAAAGTTGATACCGGTAGCATTCCGGCTCATGTAATGTAGCTGGAGGCTTTTGGCTGCCAGTAACAGACAAACCAACTCAAAATGGCTTTATAATAAGGAGAACTTTTATCTCACAGGACTAGAAGTCTGGAGGTAGGGTGATCCTAGAGTACGTTAGCTCAGCAACTCAGTGACCTCATCAAGGACCTGGCTCTTTTCATTTTTCTCTCTGCCATCCTTCACATGTCCGCTCCCTCCTCTTATGTCAGCAAATGACTGCAGCAGTTCCAGGCATCACATCACACTAATGCCCAGAAGTATTTGTTCCCAGACCCTCTCATGGTCAGCAAATGGCTGCAGCAGCTCCAGGCATCACATCACAACACTAATGCCCAGAAGTATTTGTTCCCAGAGTCTATTCTTTCATTAAGGATAGAAGGTACAGGGTGGTAGCCAGTAGAAAGCTCTCAAGCAGTCACATCTGAGGGCTGTTCTGCCAAGCAGCTAGCCCCAGAGAGCCCCAGGGAGCTAGGAGAAGTGGGAAGTTCTGTTTGGAGGGTGGGATGCTGATGGTAGAGATTGTACCCATATCCTTGTTCCCAGGAGCTTCAGCCTGGTCAGCCTCCAAATGGTGCTCTGGGGAGAGACTGGCTGCTGCTTTGGCCTTTTAAAATGACAGTACACCATGAATACTGGCACAAGTTTCAAAGATAAAATGCAGAATGAGACAGGCATGGACTCATCCCTCTTTCATTCATACATGTATTTGTTCATCCCTGTTAGTACTTCCGTAGGGCCGCCATAACAAAATACCATGGGCTGGGTGTCTTCAAGATGAGGGTGTTGGTGGGATTGGTTTCTTCTGAGGCCTCTCTCTTTGGCTTGCAGATGGCTGCCTTCTTGTTGTGTCCTCACTTGGTCTTTCCTCTGTCTGCGTGCACCCCTGGTGTCTCTCTGTGTGTCCAGATCTCCTCCTCTTCTTAGGACTCCAGTCCTACCGGATTAGGGCCCACCTTATGACCTCATTCTACTTTCATTATCTTTGTGAAGACCCCATCTCCAAATACCATCACAGTCTGAGGTACTGGGGGTTAGGGCTTCAATATATGAATTTTGGAGAGACACAATTCAACTAATAACAACCCCAGTTGTCTACTGTGTGCCAAAATGTGCCCTGCACTGTCCTAGGCACTAGGGCTATAGCTGTGAGTGGAAGAGACAAAGATCCCCGCCCGTATGCAGCTTGCCTTGGGATGGGGAAACGAGTAGTCCTCAGTCACCAATTCTGGCTTCTGTTTAGGACCATCTAACGTACTATGATTTCAGCACTTCACTCTCTCCCAGACTCCTTATTACTGTAAATTCCACGCTCTGGAGTCATTCCTTCTTCAGAGACACGGGTGGAAACACCTTGTGACCTAGTGTAACCAGCAGAACAGGTGTGAGAGAGAGAGAAGACATCCTTTCTAGTTTAGAGGGACTTCTTGAGGGGTCAGAGGATGGAAGCCAGCCTGGAGGCTGGGGAGGAGGGGGCGGGGAGAGGGTGTAGGTTGGATCAGGTGGTTGGAAAGGCGGGGCAGGGGTAGCTGCGTCCCCTTCAGCTGGGTGCTGAGCACAGGCACCCTGCTCCTGCGGAAGCTTGTTTCTGGAAGTTGCAGCAGACCAGCCACTGCACTGGGGGCTGGTCTACACGAAACAGGATCCTCTACCAGCAAAAAGATTACGACTTGATGAAGCCTCAGATGCTGGTTAGCATGTTTTAGCAATAAAGTACTTTGAAATTAAGGTATGTACATTGCTTTTAGGTATAATGCTATCGCACACTTAATCGACGCAATATAGTATAAGCATAACTTTGATATGCACCGGGAAACCAAAACATTTGTGTGACTCGCTTTATTGTGACATTGGCTTTATTGTGGTGGTCTGGACGGAACCCTCAGTGTCTTCGAGGTAGGCCTGTAGTTTATAGTGACCATAGGCTACAATATCAAGAGTAATTTGGGGCTAATAAATAAGTAAGCAGCAGAATTGAATGGGGAATAATTATATATCTCTGTTATAATGCTGCCTTCTACATACAGCTGTGTGTGTTTGGTACTGTGTTTTTAAATGAAAAGATCAGATTAGGTTTGACTTTCTGTCACCAGATGGAGTCTAGCTGTACCTGAAACATGGATTAAGAGGCAGGGCCTTTCATTCCTGGGTATCCTGACTGATGGGGGTCTCGTGTTTTATGGATATAAGATGTGCTGGGTGAGGAGGACAATGGAATTACGCTTCCCACAGAAATCACTCCTGGACTGAGAATCGAGTTTGCACGTGTGCCCTGTAGCATTCATTCTTGCCGAGTGCTGGGAGATGGGTGGTTATTAGGTTATGTCAAAGTGGTGTTTGCCTTAATACACGATCCTCCTGCAGTAACTCAATAATGGGAGGTGGAAGGAGGGAGGGAGGGAGGGAATGTGGTGTCCTGCATATTTCTGAAACACGGTGCCTCTGGAAGTTGAGGAAGCTTGGTGTGGTACTATCAGGGAGCTGTGAGGGACCTGTACCCAGGCCCACGACAGGTTTGAATCCACTAACACTGGCACCTCTTGTGAGGCAGTATATAGGTTAGTGGTCAAAAGAACAGCATCTGGGCCTAGACTGCCTGGCTCCTGGCTCCTGGCCTACCAGTTTCCAGCTTTTTGCCTTTGGGCAAATTACTTAACCTTGCTGTTTCCTGAATAGTACAATCGGGGTATTAATAAGAGTTCCTACCTCATAGAGCTGTTGTAATAGTAGAATGAGTCAGGGTACATGAAGCGCTTAGAATCATGCCTGGCTCATGCATCTTTATTGAGATAAAGCAGGAAGAAGTGGCTTTCTTTCCCTTTAACCTCATACTGTGGGGTAGGGTACGCACAGCTCTGGTAGGAATGGCTCAAAACAGGCTCATGATTCCACTCCCTCCTCCCACCATCTCATACAGAGATGCATGGACATCGCTGGGAAAGATCCTGGGTGTTCTTTGTGCATAGTGATCCATGGATGATGCTTGGCCCTGACGTGACCCGAGGCTCACCTGCTAGACCTGTCCCTTGCTGGCTGCGGGACCTTCAACAGCTTCCTCCCCTCTCAGAGCTTGAAACAGAGGTAAGCGGGCATCCCCAGCAGCCCTCACAGGAATGTCTTGGGGGCATCAGAGAAGATAACGAAAGTGGAAGGGCTTTGTAAGCTGCAAAGTTCCTCTTCAGAGGGAAGGCATCATTGCTCTTACCATCATCTTCCTCACTATGCTCCTGCATCCCCTTGGCCTCCCTGCAGCTCCCCACACCCCCAGCCCTTGTGGGACAGGGGCTTTGAAATCATGTTTATAGAATGATGTGGTTCTTCTGTAAGGATTTTGATATCTCCCACTTTTTATTTTTGGTGGAATTATTGACATAATTCAAGTTTGAAGTTGTGTGAGAATAACATTTTGATTTTGTGTTAAGGGCATTTCTGAATCCAGTTCCTTCCTTTCCTTTTCTCTTCACTAAATTACATTCTTGTTTTATCCTTGTAGGGTTCTCAAGCAGAGTGCAGGGCTAGTCTGTAGTCAGATCTAACTTTTCTCATTCATTTTAGTGTGATCCAGGCTTTTTTTTTTTTAAAGGAGAAATTCCATCAAGTGCCAATAACCTCCATCCTAATGTTACCTTAAGTATCTTCCTCTACCCTGATTTGGGCTGAGTAGTATAAATTTTACTTCCATATGCTTTACATGTATCATCATATTCAATTAAGGGCAGTTCTGTAACTTTTAAGAGTTGGAAGACTTTGCTCTGGGGTGTTCTTGGGGGGGCGTCCAAGAGTCTTGAGCAACCACTGTTGAATTGTGGTTGCTTTCTGGGATTGCCAGAGCTTGGGAGGCTATGTCTTAGACAGTGACATTTCCAGGAATCAGGAAAGGGCCCACTGTCCTGGTCTGGGTTACCCTGAGACCCCTCCTCAGGATCTCTGCAGGGGCAGCAGCCCCTGTTTGCTCACCCCAAACAGTAGAATGAGAGCAGTTTGAGGAGGTGATAGAAGGTGCCTGGGGGTGGGTGAGGGACTGCGGTGGCATGCTGTAGCATGCTATGGAGGCATGTCCTTGTCCCAGAGTGAGAGAGGGAAGGAGAGGGCCCCCCCCACATCACTCATGTGAATGAGGGTAGGATACTGTCCCATAGGCTCCCCAATACCTGAGAGGGAGATGCTGCCTGTGAGTCAGCCTCACGCCTTGCTGAGCCGCTGCACAGTCCCTGGCCACGCGGGGCATCGCTCAACCTCTGAGACTGTGTGCTGCGTGCCTGATTCCAGAGGGCTTCTCAGCACATCTCCGTCTCTTCCTCTCCTCCCCTTCCACTTTTTTGGTCAAAAGGCCAGGCTAGGGACAAGCATCGTTTTGCACTGAAAAGGACAAGCAGTGCTGAGGAAGATCTTGGCAGCCTTTTCAGAATTTGATCTGGGAGAAGCCCTTGGTTGGAGGTGGGGTAGGGGTAATGATTTAAACAGCAAAGAGCTTGACCAGATACACCAGCCTTGAGCTTTGAGCCCTGAGACTTGAAAATTATGCTTTGGGAAATAAACACTGGGGGCATGGCCTCCCAAAAGAGGGGAAGGCAGGGCGGGAGGAACATTTGCCCAGTAGCATTGCCCATAATGAAAATTCGAACCCTTCCACTTCACAAGCCAGGGTGTGTTGGTGGATGGAACAGGCTGTAGATTCCCTAATCTGCCATGTCCTTAAAGCATGAATGAGTCTTTGAATCTCCAGAGCCTATTGCTTCATAAATAGTTACTGAAGTGATTTGAATTGTAGATTTCTTTTCTTTGGGAAGGATGTTTGAAATCTAACTTGTACATTTTGCGGGGTCCCAGAAAGGCTAGGTGACCTTCCAGATCCCAGCCAGTAATTGGTCGAGGTGGAGCTCCGTTCCCAGCTTCTCCTCCTAGGGAGGGGCATTTCTCATCATATCGTGTTGCTCTTCTAATTAAATCGTGGATAATGTCTATGGCATGTTTAATTTCTAATTAGATGACTTTATGGATCAATTTGCATTTAATGTTAAATCTAATGTGGAAATCATTAAAAAGTTAGATCTCTGGGGAGAGGAATAGGCACTTATTCCATGCCTATTAAAAATAACAGGTATATGTCCTGTGTTAATACATGAAGCTTTTTTATGGGGAACAGGAAAAAATCAGTAGAAAATGCAGGACACATAGGTAGTGTGTGTGTTTGTGAATTGGAGAAACGTCAGGTGTTCAGATTTTACAATGCTTGTGGTGACTGTTGTAGTAGGTACCATTTACTGCAACTTTATTGCATGCCAGTCCTGTGGTAAGTCCTTTAAGGGCATTGTTTTGCTTAACTCTCAAAACAGCTCTCTGAGGTGAGCATTATTATTATCTCCCTTTATAGATGAGGAAACCGAGTCTCGGGAGATGAAGGTCTCGCATTCAGCAAATGGTGAATGCAGGATTTGAATCCAGGCCAGTTTGATTTCATAATTGATCTCAACTCTTCATTACATTGGGAAGTGCTCCCGTGGGTGCTCAATAATTATAGCCAATAGAACCCTGCACATGGTCTGGGTGTAAAGTCCATTGGATTCTAAAGTGTTTGCAGCAGATGGTAATTTGGGGGCAGCATCAGTGCTGCCATTACTTACTGCTTTCAAGGAGAGAGATGGCTCCCTAGGTGAGCAGCTGAGGCTCTCTCACAGCGTCCACAGGCTAAAGGGACAGTTCCTAGCAAGGGTGACTCCCTGTCCACAGCTTGTGTAAGGTTGGCCCCAGTGCCTCCTCTTGGAAGCCTCCTTAAGTTAACTCCAAATCTTTGAACATGTGTATACAGTGGGTTTCCTTTGGACAATGGATCCTCTATGGGATGTTCTTTTAGACTTATATATTTTTTAATTTTCTTATTTTTCTTGTTTGACTACGCTGTATTTAGTTAAGACTGCAGAGAATGTGGTTTTGAGTCCAGAGTCTCTTACTTACTGCCTGGGTCTTTGGACAGACCATTTAGACCTAGTTGCTAGTCTACTTGATGTCATTGTGGTTTCCTTGAGGACAGGTGAGTGTGGGAGTACGCAGCCCAGGGCATGGTGTGCACTTGGTAAAGAAGTTCCCCATTCCCTTCTCCTGTAGGAACAGTGTCCGTTTATTGATGAGATGACTGGATCCAGGAGCGCTCATATTTTTTCTGGCTCTTGCTGGTGCCTGTTGTTCATTCACTCAACCACTGTTCACAAATGCACAGCATTCTGGGCCCTGTTATAGCGTCTGGGGACACAGTGCCACTGTGCAGGACAGGAGGGATGCTCTACAGCCCACCCCCACGTCATGGGCCTTTCCCAGGGCTGCGGGCAGACAAGCAAGCAAACAAAATAAACACTAAGTGTAGTTGGTTGGAAGATACTGCCACACTACCAGCTCAAGCAGTCATTCATTCCCTTTTTTTCTGTAAGCGTTTTGAACACCAGTTATGTTCCCAGCACTATGCTAAACATGGACATGTGAAATTGGATCATGTCTGGGAGCCCAGGAATTATTTCACCAGAAAAAGAAGTGTCTGAGGAATACAGATCACTCTCTTGTGTTTTTCCGTCTTAAACATTTTAACTCTTTGAGGTTAAATACTCATTTGAACAAGTACAAGCTTCTAACCCCCACCCCCCTCCCCAATCCAGGGGACTTTCTTGTGTGTGGGGAGATGGACATATGAGTTTGGGTGTTTGGATTTGGCAGATGTTTGCATGGTTCTTAACTAGCGGTTCTCAAATATTCTTGTGCATAAGAATTGCCTGGGTAGCTGGCTAAATTCAGATTCAGGTGCTACACTCCCAGATACAGATCTTCCTTGATGGGGTTACATCCCGATATTCCTTAACTTTTACATTCTTTAATTGTAAATGTGAAATATGTTGGCTTTAAAAAAAAAATCAGACTACGTCTGCCATGTAAAATAGAGAAAGTTCTATAATACAGATCTTCCTCCACTTAGGATGACTTTATGCCCCAATAAAACCCATCCTAAATTGACAATATTGTAAGTCAAAATGCATTTGAAGCTTAGCCTAGCCTATCTTAGATGTGCTCAGAACACTTACCTTAGCCTAAAGTTGGGTAAAATCATCTAACATAAAGCCTCTTTTATAATAAGTGTTGAACATCTCATGTAATTGATTGAATAATGTACTGAAAGTGAAAGACGGGTTGTATGGGTGCAGAATGGTTGTGAGTGTATCGGTTGTTTCCCCTTGTGATCGCTGTCCAGCATCATGAGATAGTGTGGTACCACTTATCACTAACCTAGGAAAAGATCAAAATTTAAAATGCGAAGTACGGTTTTTAGTGAATGGGTATTACATTCAAACCTTGCAAATTTGAAAACTCCTTAAGTTGAACCATCCTTAAGTCTGGGATTGTCTGTACTCTGATTCAACAGGTCTGGTTTGGGGCCAACTGTCTGAGCTTTAACCTGACGCACAGGTGAGTTGGCTGCAGGTGGTCTATGAACCACATGTGGATGGATCCACACAGTGCTGGAAGAAAGTTCAATCTCTTCATTTTATTAAGGAGGGAAAACTATTTCCCAGAGACGGAAGGGATCTTGGAAGTAGTGGCAAAAGTAGACAGGATGGGCTGGGGCTTTGGAGCAGAATTGATGTGAAGTCTCGTCCTGTCTCTGTCATTTGTAGCCTCATACAGACTTGGGTAGGTCGTTCTGCTTCTCTGAGCATCCGATTGCTCATCAGCCTGCCTCACTGGCTGAGAGATGTGATTGGAGGGACCCATGCAAAGCATAGGATAGAGACTCGTGCTAGGTATTGCACATGCCCTGAATTAGCGTATTGGTTTCTCAGATTCCTGATTCATCCTTTGAATGTGAGTTGAGCTGCTGCATATACACCCCGTGATTTCTCTTTATTTCACAAGATGAAATGCTCTAACCACAATAAAGGAAATGAAACAAAAGAAAAATAGTTCACCCACAAGCGTGCTATTCTAATACAACTGTTTTCATTTTTCCTTTTAGCCCTTGTCTGTATGCAGACATATTTCTGTATGGCTGTAATCATATGTAGACTCAATTTTGTATTCTGCTCTTTTCAGTAAACCTT